CAAATAAATGACTTTATTTTCATAAATATAGTTTTAGTCATTGCTATTCTACGTTTTATTTCTATGTCTGGATCTAGTTGGCCCATTATCACAGTTCCCAAATATGTCATTTTGTAAACTTTCTCAACTTGGACTCCGTTCAATTGAAGCTTTGCATCGGGATGTGGGTCACGACTTTGAAGTAGAAGACTTCACAAGAATTTGAAGACCTTCAATATTATCTGATAGAATTACTGTATCGTCTGCATATCTAATCACATTAAGTAGTTCTCCGTTGATTTTTATTCTATATGGTTGTCTCTTAAGTGCCTTTTTAAATAACTGGTTTGAGTAAACATTGAACAATGTTAACGACAAAATGCAATCTTGTCTGACTCCTCATTGTATAGGGGTTTCATCGGTTTAGTGATTTCCAATTTTTACGGTAGCAGTTTGATTTCAGTACAAATTTTTAATGACACGAATATCCTTGTGATCTATTTCAATATTTTTCAGTATTTGCAATAATTTTAGATTCTTTAATAATACTTTATCAAATGCCCTTTCGAAGTCCACGAAATATGCAAATACATCTTTTCTTTGGTCGTGGCATTTTTGTAATAGAATGTTAAGCGCAAAAAGTGCCTCCCTGGTTCCCGTAGAATTTCTAAAACCAAATTGGATGTCTTCAAGATCTTCTTCGCATCGTCTAATTTTGTTGTGAAGTATTCTGAGGAAAATTTTAAGAGTGTGGCTCATTAGGCTAATTAATTGATAATCTAAGTATTTTCGCGCATTGTATTTTTTAGGTATTGCGATAAAGATGGATTTGAGCCAATCTGCGATAATCACTCCAGTGTTATATATTGAATAAAAAGTCTTACTACTACTTTAATGTTATCATTCTGTATCAGTTTCAGCAACTCAGTTGGTGTATAATCTGGACCACAAGCTTTTTTAATTTTAGCAATATTTATAGCGTGTTCTACTTCGCATTTTATAATTTCTGGGCCTCAGTACAGTTTCGGTAGAATTCGGCAATATTATTCCTGTCATCTTCAAATAACTCTGATATATACAGCTGCCATTCTTTTCTTATTTCTTTCTCATTTACAATAATTTTGTTATTAGTGTCAACAAGTACAGAGGGAACTCAATTTTTAAACATATCACTCATTTCTTTCAGTTCTTTGTGCACATTAAATAAGTCGTGTTTAGATATTACATCCTTCATTTCGTCGCACCTTTCTCTCATCCATTTTTCCTTGGCTAATTTGATCACTTTTTTTTATTCTTCTCTGCAGGTGTCTATATTTTGTTACATTAGATTTTATCAGTCGACGTTGTTCCATTAATTTTAAGATGTCGTCTGTCATTGAGGTTATTTTTCTTCTTGTGTGTCTTCTACTTTGAATAAAACTTTTGACTTAGATAATACTTTTAGAAAACATGTCTATTTTTATATACCAATAAACGCAACCAATTAATTTTCAACTGAACCTCACATCCTTACTTAACATAGACCTATATGACCTCACATCTAGACCGTATGATGATACCTTATTGTTGCTGTAGTATTGTTAGTGTTTGTAGGTAAAAGAAGACGAGTTGCATGATCTACGTACTAGTTCAGGTACAATTTAGATGTGGAATTAGCCAAAAGGTCAAAGAACATTAACAAAGACAGGACACTCTAGATCTGGGAAAACCGAAAAAAGCCGAAACTTAAAAGAGATTTAAAGTAAAAATAAATATAAAGTTGACCGAATATGAAGAAAATAAAGAGAGATCATCAGAAGACCAGTAAGACTTAATAAGTAGAACTACAAAAACTGCAGTAAAATCGATGCTAGGAACAAAAAAACAAAGACGAATTACCAATAATTTGGGGATATGTATAAGGCGGCAACTGAAGTATAGAAATATACTGACTATACGAACGAAAAAAGAAAAATTCAAAACAAAAGGCGAATGGCTGACAACCTATGTAGACAAAAAAAGAGAAAACACATAATCAAATAATTATTAATAAACATGTAAACAAACTTTAGTGGAGACAAAACACTAAATTCGCATAAAATTATCAAACAAATAAAACAAGGGTATAAAATAAATACTAATCTGTGTAGGAATAGAAATGACAAAATAACCAGCAACACTAAAGAAATTAAAGAAACTTAAAAAAACATATTTTAAAAACTTCTGACCGAAAACAATCACAAAGATAATGCAGAATACACAGAACATAAGTTATTAGAAGGGGCAGAAAATAAAGAGAATAAAAACAAAACCGACAACAATACAGTAGGTTAAAAGGACAATTAATTAAACTGTGGAAAAAAATTTGAAATGTGAAATTACGAAACTGATATAAATATGAGATCATACATAGATTATGGGGACAAAAGAAAATGCCAAAAAGTGAAATAACAGTACCATCAGCCCAATGCATAAAAAGGGCAATAATTTCCTCTATCGAAACTGTATGAGAATCTCCTTGCTGTGATGTAAATATAAAATATTAACCAGTATACTCAATAATACGATACGACTACTCACAGATAAGATCACCAGAAAATATAAGACAAGATTTAGGCAGGAGGATGAACCATCGACCAACTGTTTACGATTAAGCAAGTCTTAACCTAACATAGGCTATGTATAATACCTTCGTAAATTTTAAACAGGCATATAAATCAATAAACAGGGTACACTTATACACAATTTTAAGTAAATTTAAAATAACTTCTAAATTAGTTAAGTTCATCCAAATGACGATATTAGATACAGTGGCACAGGTACAGATACAACATGAAACAATAGTCTCATTTAAATAACACAAAAATTAAAACAAGGTCATGGCCTAGCACCAACATTGTTTAATTTAGCACTGGAAATAGTAGTAAGAAAGATATCAGAAGGTATAAACAACCAGATTATCAATAAATTAATCTAAATCAATCGAAGAGCAAATTGATATCTACCTACCTGATAGTTAATAACTTAGAAAATGTAGATAACTTTATGTATTTTGGAGTCAACATGACAAGGAATAACGGAGAGCTTCGCCAAAGAATCATCCTAGCCAATACGACTCAAAAATCTGTAAACCGGATAGAAATCTTTGAAAGAAAGGTACTGAGCGTACTCTAGGTCGTATCAATAGAACAGATAGAAACTCAGATACAATTATAAAATAAATAACATTATATATATATATATATATATATATATATATATATATATATATATATATATATATATTATGCACATATTTGCACAACATATTTGTGCTTCATACATTATAGTAAAGCTTTCGATTTGGTCAACTGGAGTAAGATGTGGCAGGTTTTGTCTGAAATGAGAGTCCCCAATCATCTGATACTGCTAATTAAAAGCCTGTACAATAACAATTATGCCAAAGTTAGAATAAATGGGAAACTAACCGATAGTTTTAGGGTCACAAAGGGCGTGAGACAAGGCTGCATACTAAGCCCAATTCTATTTATCATCTATGGTGAATGGATAATGCGGAAAGTTACTGAGGACTAGAACGGTGGCATCACCATTGGCGGGAAGAAGATTTGCAACTTGAGATATGCAGATGATACTACTATCCTTGCTAATTATGAAGCCAAATTGATTCACCTGCTACAACGGATAGAAGACGTAATGTTAACGATGGGCCTTAAAATAAACAGAGATAAAACGAGAATCATAATACTTGACAGAGTTAACAACAATCAAAATCATCTGGTCATGATAAACAATATCGCTGTTGTAGATAAATTTGTGTATCTGGGCTCATTAATAACTAACAAAGGAGGCTGTACTAAAGAAATAAAGCGGCGGTCAGCAATCCGCTAAATCAGCAAAAGCGCTATGGCAAAATTAACAAAAATTTGAAAAAGCCATTAAATAACTACCGATACAAAAATGAGACTAGAAAGAAGTCTAGTTTTTCCAGTTTTTACTTATGAATCGAAATGCTGGACCCTTACTGAGAAAGACAAAAAGATCATAGATGTATTCGAAATGTACTGCTGAAGACGAATGCTGAGAATACCATAGGTGGCCCGAAAAACAAATGAATCCATACTGGACCAGCTTAACATAAAGAAAAGACTAAGAACACAAATATCAGAACAAATATAAGCTATTTTGGACATGTGCTTCGAAAAAACGGTCTTGAAAAACTTACCATCTAGGGAAAAGTAGAAAGCAAAAGAAGATCATTGGTAAATTTAACTATACAGGCTTCATTGATTACTACCATGCGCTCCATGTCAGAATGTGCTAAGAATGGAAAAGATAGAATATAACGTATATATATACATTGATATATATATAGCTAGTAGCTTCATCATTATCACAGATATCTGCCTACAGCATCTTAAATGGACTAAGAAGATATAAATGACAAATAGTCCTTCAAAAAAAAAAACGTTAAATGCAAGAATGCAGAGATAAAAAACCTATTAGAAGATCGAGAAAGCGATGAGATGATGATGAAGATAATGACGCTATAGGGAGAGCGCCCACCAAAGTGGCGTGGCACGTGGCAAGTAGCAAGTAGCACACGTCTAGCATGTTACATAAAATGTAACCAATGCAAACGAATGATTAGAGCGAGTGACGTCACTGTCATTTTGGTGTACGCTGAATCATTCGTTTTTGTTCTAGCTTGCTACTTGCTACTTGCCACGTGCCACGCCACTTTGGTGGGCGCTCTCACTTAGATCTCATTTTCAGTCGATCGTGGAGAAAAATTGTTACAGACCGCAACGGATGGATAGGTTTGATGAGGAGGCCAGCAATCGAATTGGGCTGTAAAGTGATAAGCTCGATGGATCTGCAGGTATCTTTTAATTTGAAATTCAATATATTAAACATTATATTCATGTACTCATTTTTAGTTTGTTGGGCTTTGACTAGCTTTTTAAAAAAAAAGTTTTAAATTACTTAGTAAAAAACCTTTTCTTAAATATAATTTAAAATATGTAATTATAATTTATACTTACAGCTGGAAGAGCAAAGAAGGAAATGGCGAACACGCTGAAACAAGACGCAACGATTTTTCCCATCCAAGTCCGAGGAACAGTATCACCGTACCCGATCGTCGTCACTGTTATCACTCCCCACCAGAGGGCATCGGCGTAACTGGAAAACGTTCCCGTATTTTTACCTTCCTCTTCATCTTCAACAGCGTCCTTTTCTGCCAAATATACAAAGTAACTGCTAAAGATTAGGCCCAAGAATCCAATGTATAACGTTGTAATAAGTTCCTGAAAGAAATATTAATTTGTATATTATTTAATAGTAATCTAGCATTTTTAAGGTAAACTGCTCCTTCGCCAATTTTTCAAGTTTAAAGTTTCTTTCCTATATTCGGACATTCGCCAAAATTTTTAATAAGCATGTGCTACTGATTAGGCATGGCGGTTTTTGACAAAACACCGGTTTTCGGTTATACCGTTTTTTTTTGCTTACAGTTTAACCTGGCGATTATAACCGATAAAAAAAACCGGTTTTTCCAAAACCATGTTTTTTTATTCAATAGGTTACAAAGTTACATTTACAATGCACTTTAGTTTGCGATACTTCATTCGACTCGATATCAATGTGATCAAAATTAGTATTATCAAAAGAACATCACTAACAATATAACTAAAACACAATTTTTAATAAAACCATTTTATTCTATTAATTATTATATTTATTTATTACTTTATTATTATTATACATTTATTAATTATTATCAAATATAATATTATATTACCGCTCAACAGAGAGCGCTGAAACAATTCAGGTTCTACTGTCATTAAATTTATTATGAGAGTAGAATATAATATGCAATTATTGTATTCAATTAATGATGCAAATTACCAAAAAAAAAATGTTTTATTTTTACTACCATCAAAAAAAATTGATCATGTATTACTTTTAACACGTGTGTATATTTGTATAGTAGGTACTTCGTGTATTAGTGTATCGTTTTGAAAACGTAGGGAAATCCTTGGCGATTCGTATTCGTAATCGGTAATTCGATATTCATAGTCAGAACATTATTTTTGGTAATCAGCAAAAGCCATTCACCCGCTTTCAATGTCAAGAGTCAAGTGTGAAAAATATATGATGTACCAGGTCACTTCTTATGTAAATATTATGATCACTAAATACTTTTTCAACGAAATATTACAATAAAACTTAACTGTTTCTGGCTGATGTGAGTTTGCACTTTCAGTTTGCTTCTGTATTTATAAAATAAAATAAAATTTGAATTATGGTTGTGTTTGGAATAATTACTTAAGAATAATAATTATGATTGGTATCCAAAATAATATCTAACATAATTCTAATCACCGTAAAAACCTAATAACCAGTTTTTACTTTAAAAATAAAAAACCGGTTATAACCGGGACAAAAAAACAACCGATAAAACCGGTTATTGCGAAGTAAAAAAAACCGGTTTTTGCTTAAAACCGGTGGGTTTTTCCCATCCTTACTACTGATTGATGACTCCAAAACATAGTATTGATATATAAAAATATTAAGCACAAAGTGACATTAGAATGCAAGAGATAGAATAGGCAGGCCATAATAATATAAGGAATACTTTATCTATGTAAAGTAAAACAATAAATCCTGAGATAAGAGTTGGTAAATTTTTGTTATGATACTCCTATGTTATTTACAGATTAAACCAGATAAAAAAAGGTTGCACTTATATTTCTGGCTTAACAATAACAAAAGTATTGTTCTTTGAAAATGGTTTTATTGCTTTTTAAAATACTCTCCATAAAAATCAATACACTTTTGCATGCGTTTTAACCAATTTTCGAAGCACTTTTTCTACTCAGATTGAAATACTCGATCTTCTACTTGATTTAACAGCTTCTTGACCACGAAATTTACCTATGATGTGAGGGAATAAAAATAATTCATTTGTTGCAAAATAAAGACTGTACGACGGATGGTCCGTTAATGCGATGTGTTAACCAGTCAAAAAATCTGTTGTGTATACTGCGTAAACTTGCTTGTCGTGATGAAGAATGATTCTTCTGTTCTTCAGCAACTTCTGACAAACAAGTTTATGTGTATCATGCAGAATTGACCGTTTTACGTTCTTTAAAAGACACAGTAGCTAGATAATCATTTATACAAAAAAACAAATGATCACTTGTTTCGATTTCTTCTTTAGGATAAATTTTTCTTAGATTTAGTTCATTTTGGAACACCCATACGGTCGATCACAGTTAATAGTCTAAGGAAGAATCGACAGTAGGAGGGGACCGGGAAGAAGAAGACACTCATGGATGCATAACCTGCGACAATGGTTCGGACTAACATCGACCGAACTGTTCAGAGGTGCCGTAAACAAAGTCAAAATAGCCTTGTTAATAGCCAACGTTCGAAAGGGATAGGGCAAAGGAAGAAGAAAGAGTTGTTGCCTTGCCGTTAAAGACATGCCTTGATGACTTTTAGGGTATTAATTAAGGTTGTTTGATGGAGTAATTGTTTTAGGTAGTTTTGTTTTTCGTGGTCTAATTAGGTCATTTAAATATATATTAAAAAGTATTGTAAAGCGCTTGTTTGTCGTAGTACTTCTTGATTTAATAGTATTATTTCTGTTACCTCATGAGAATTATTGTCATGAACTATAGTGGTGTGAATATAAAAACTTTTGGTAACACCATTGAGTAGATGTCTTGGAAAGCTTTAGTTTTTTGATATTTCCCAGGGTTTATTTTTCATGACTATATAGAAATCTTTTATGAAATCTATTAATGAGATACGTGTTTTTAGGTTAAACTTACGGCGTTTTTCGATTATTTGTTAAATCGTGAATATAGCACCTATACATGAGCGACCCTTTCAAAACCCATTTAGTTCGTATTCAAGAAGATATTCAGTTATTTTTTCTATGCTTGGTGCTATTATTCGTGAACTTTGTATATATTACAGTTTGTAATAAGTAAGGTAAATGTGTGTGTTTATGAGAAATTTTACAACATTTTTTCCATTTGATTAAACCTGATTTTAGTTTTAAAATTTTAAATAACAGGAAAGGGTTACGCATTACAATGTTTACCTACCTAATATGGTGTTAAAATCCTAAAAAAATATTTACCTGCCGATGGATAAATACCACGGATCCCAACAATCTCCATGTACCGCCCTGCCGATCGACGTGTAACATTCGAAGAATCTGTAGAAAGCGAATTCCACGTATTGCCGATGTTGCAAATACTTGTCCGTTTGAACCTAAAGTTAGTACCACAATTGACGCTACAACCACTATTAAGTCTGAAAAGAAAAGATACGAATTAAAACATAGTTTAGATTTACTTTTGGTATTTAATTTAGTGTTCAGTATAAATTATTATATAACCGCAATATTGTAAAATAGCGAAAATAGCACATACTGGGCGAACTGCAATTATTATAACTGCCATAAAATAGTTTAGTTGGTAACCTTTCAGTGCTAACGCATGGTCTCACAGACGGAGCTAACCTATTCATACCGATAATTAACGATCTATTCCGATATTCAGGCTAGGTCATTCAATAGCTTCATATTTTACCTAACCGTTGTTAGTATTAAAATATTGTTGAACGTAGATACATAGTTCGTTCGTTACACAAGATTTCGGTCTCAGAGACGGATGTTAGCTTTTGCGGCTGTATTAAAGGTAAGGATTGTAACTTTTAGCGTTGTATTTTTAGTGAATAAAATATTATTTTTTTACTTTTTAGAAATAGAAATGAACTACGAGGAGGAGCAAAAATATTTGCAGAGACTTCTAGAGGAAGTTGATAGTAATGATGAATTGGAATGCAACGATTCTGCGGATAGTTCTGAAGAAGATGAAGTTGAAATACAAGATCTCGATACAGATAGTGAACAGGATATATCAGAAGCAGAAAATGATGTTTTTGATGAGGCAGAAGCACAAAATATTTGCCGGCGAGTTCCTATTTTTTTTTGGTAAGGATAAAAAAACTAAATGGCGAAAGCATGTTGGTAATAAGCGAGTGCGTACGAGAGCAGACAATTTAAGAGGCATTTACCAGGTGTAAAGGGGGATGCTAGGGAGAAAATAATCTTTAGTGATATTTGGGGCTGTTTTATAACAGACCAGATGTTGGAACTTATTGTAAAAAATACAAATATAAATATTGAACTACATGCTGATCCTCTGAATAGAACCTACAGAAAGACGGATATACTAGAAATAAAAGCACTTATAGGCCTGTTGTACATAGCAGGAAAGTTCAAGAATAACCATCTCAATGCTCGCGACTTGTTTAGAACAAACGGTACATCCTTAGAAATATTTCGCCTTACAATGTCATACGAGCGATTCAAATTTCTATTGGCATTTATTCGCTTTGATAATAAACAAACTCGTGCAGAGAGACAAAAAGTTGATAAATTAGCTCCTATCAGAAGCTTTTTTGAAGACTTCAACACCAATTTGCCAAAACACTACGCCATGTCACACTATTGTACAGTTGATGAAAAATTAGAAGCCTTTAGGGGCCGCTGTGGGTTCAAAGTTTATATGCCAAAAAAACCAAATAGGTACGGTATAAAAATATATGCCTTGACTGATGCTAAATTAGCTTATACCTCAAATTTAGAAATTTATGTTGGTCAGCAACCAGAGGGACCCTACCAGCAAACCACAAAGACTTTGGATTTAGTAGTACGTTTGTGCAGACCTATCTGGGGTACAAATAGAAATGTTACTCTTGATAATTTTTTTTACCAGTAAGCAGCTTGCTGACACATTACTGGCCAATCATCAGCTAACTATAATTGGAACTCTTCGAAGAAATAAGCCAGAACTGCCTTTGGAATTTACGGCGCCTATAAATAGGCCTACTTCTACAAGTATGTTTGCATATCAAGATAAATGCACTATTGTTTCGTATATTCCAAAACCGAAAAAAAATGTGCTCCTGATGTCAACAATGCATTATGAAGATGATACGTTGGATCCAAAGACTGGTAAGCCTAACATAATAATTGATTACAACGAAACCAAAGGAGGAGTCGACACTATTGATAAGATGTGTGAAAGCTACAATTGTGCAAGATCGACTAATCGCTGGCCCATGGTGATATTTTATGCAATATTGAATATCGCCGGCATAAATTCATTTACAATATACAAGTGTAATTCTGCTCGGACAGACCAACGCATACTACTTAGAAGAACATTTTTAGAGACAATGGGTATTCAACTGCTTGAACCACATGCAAGACGTAGAGCAATTGCAACAAACCTGCCAAGGGTGATAAGTATGCGACTCAGAGAAATGTTTGATATCACATTGAATGTACAAAATATTGAAAAATCTAATGGTCGTTGTTTTTACTGTGGAAGCAAGAAAAGTCGAAAAACAAAGTACAGTTGTTACTCATGCAATAAATTTATGTGCTTAGAACACATAAAGGGTATATGTGTGGAATGTTCAGAAAAAGATTGACTTTTTTTAAGTTTAAAGTTACTTCGTATTATTAGAGTTGCTTAAGTGTGGTTATTATAAGTGGATAATTTCATTTTTAGTTTAAAAATAACTCAGCAAATTTTTTTGTTTATATTACGATTTTAGAGTTTTTTTCTCACTTTTTAGAATAGTTGCTGGTGTTTGTTAAATTTTAAAAATTTGTAAAATTTACAGTACTAGGGCATGTATAAACATACGGTCCAGAGACGGACGTTAGCACTTATGTCAAAATAATTCACGTTAGAACTGAAAGGTTAATATACTGCGATTAATTATCATATTTTCGACAGCTATTTTCCGACATTTATTTTCTGACAATGCCCGATAGTCGTCAGGTGACGGTAAAGTTCCCTTTATCTATCTATCGTCCCTCGGTAAATTGAAAAAAATTCCACCTTTAGTCCAGACAACTTAAGATCATCTTTTATTATCAAAAATGACAAGTTTTAACCAAATAATTTTTTAAATAAACTGGGCACAATAATTTTGAATTCATCATCATCATTTGCTCCACAACCCTTAATGGGTCTTGGCCTGCTCAAGGATAAGTCTTTATTCTCTCTTATTCTTCACCTTGGCTTTCCAGTTTGTACTCCCAACATTCTCAAGTCTTCCTCTACCTGATTCTTAAATCCTGCTCTGGGTCTGCTTCTCCTTCTCACTCCATCTATTCTTTAATTGTATGTGACCTACCTACCACAGTTAGTTTATTTTGATGGACCTAATTATCAGGTTTGTCACACAAAGTTAGAAATTATGGCGTCTTATCGCTCTTTGTCGTCATCCATGTTTCCGACGCATAGGTGAGGATGGGCTTGATAAGAGTTCTGTATATCACTAGTTTCGTCCTTTTTGTAACTAGGCTTATTGTTAAAATTTTTGTTTAATCCATAATAGGCTTTATTTGCCAGATATATTCGTCTGTTAATTATTCTGATTAATTTGTGAGCTTAGGTATATAAACTCTCTTACTCCTTGGAAAGTATATGTTTCGATCGTTGGATCGTCGGGTTGTGCTGCTTGTATATAGCGTGTTTAGCAATGACAATAATGAGACTAGAGGTTAACTAGTGTTAACTTCTAGTCTCATTATTTTTATTGCTCATTTAAGCGAATTTATGTGATTCGACCACATCCGCCTTTCTTCTTGCAATAATGTTCATATCATCGGCATACGCTAGTAATTGTACGCTGCAATTAACCTTTCGCTACCGAAGAGTCAAGTTGTTTTGTAGTTGACGGAGGGGGTACATAATGCAATAATTTTAGTTAAAACATAATTAAAGCAAATGCAAGTATTTTTTATTGAATATAAGTAACAATAAAAAATATATGGTGTCTTGAAAAAATTAATTATCGTTTTTTTGATTAGCTTTACATTTTGTACATATTATTGTTTGAATTGTTGTGGTTGTTTAATGTTCAGCACAAACAAAGAATTTACAAGAATTGCACGTCTTTATGCTTTTGCGGTCCTTCTTGCGTTGACAAAATAAACATCGCCCTGAGGATTTCAAGATGGTGGCGTCGTTTTCGCGATTCTCCCTTGATGGCGGTGGACATAATTCGTACATCGCGTTTATAATTCGCGTATGGAATTTTTGTGGACTTTGTAGTCGTGTATCGACATGGGGCTTTATAAGTTCTTGACCCAGGTTTAGTAAAAATTCTCTGCGTCTGTGAGAAGCTTCATACGCACGAACGAAATTCTTTGTCGTCCACAGTACGTATGCATTTAGAGTTGCAATGTCTAGAAGTTTTTGAAACAAAACAAATGGCCATCTCTTAGAGGCTATTTTACAACAATATTTATTTACCATCTTATCCATAGTATCTACGACACCTTTTGTAGAATTGTGATACAAGATTTTGTCTGGCTTATAGTTCATCTCTTCTCTGCTAATTTTATCGTCGTTATGTTCTGTACTCAATAAAATTACTGCCTTATTCTTTTTAGAAACGTAAGACGCCAGTGTTATTTCCTCAGTGAAGGCAAAAACTGAGGACTTTTCTTGTCTAGAAATATTGGGTAGTAGGGCTGGAGGGATATCTTGCTTGTTTTTTCGAAGTGTTCCACATGTTATTTGTCGGTCTAGGAGTTGTTTTGCCAAGGGAACACTGATACAGAAATTATCAGTAGTCATGCCATAACCAGTTTTTAAACATGAGACCAAATCAAGTACTACTCTTTTGCCCTGGTCTTTCTCTAGTTTATTACCATCTTTTCCAGTATAAATATGAAGGTTAGCAGCATAGGTGATTGTTGCATCAACTAGAGCCCATATTTTGATGCCATACTTGGCTGGTTTTGATTTCATGTAGACTCCAAATGGACACTTACCTCTAAAACTTATAACTTGTTCATCAACAGTTAGATGAAAACGGCACTTAAAACTTTCTTTACAGTGTTCTACAAACTTTATAAACACTTCCCTAAAAGCTGCTAGTTTGTCAGAACTTCTACGTTCTTCTCTAGTGTTCAAATCATCGAATCGCATAAAAGACATTAAATCTAGAAATCGGTCGCGTGACATGGCAGCCGGAAAATTAGATCGACTGTACAAAGGGTTTCGACACCACAAAAAGTGCACTGGTTCCCTATTGGCTTTTAGCGCACCCGCCGTAATCAAGAGTTCCAAGACCGCATAAATTTCCACTGAATCAGTGGGCAACCAGGTTTTATTAGGATTTTTCTCATTCCAATTCTGAAAGTATTTCTCCGCTTTCTGGTTTGTACATTTGACGATGATCTCTACAATTTTCTCATCTACAAATAATTTTAAGCAACTATCTCTTTCAGAGAGGTAATTATCATCACTTTCCTCTAACCACTGCACTGCAGTTTCACGATCCTGTTCTTTCCTAAGGTCTAACTTTATTTTTTTCGACATATCGGAAAATCGTATAATCACAAATTGATAAACTAAAACGGTATAAAGAAGTTAGTCTTCGTAAGTGGGTATATTTATTTAAAAACCCGTAAAAGGGCTACATCAAAAAAACAA